CCGTTCAGCCTCGGAGAAGCCGGCTCTAATCTGCTGACTCCACTAAAGTCCTGGGCGTCTGCAGGGGAAACGCCCGTTTCTGTGTTTGGGGCCCCTTTAATCTGCCAGGGATCCTTTTTTTTTCCCCACCGGGAAAGCGACGCCATCGTGGCACGTCATCCCGTTTGTCGGCCTCGGATCCCCTGAAATGACTGCCGTAAACCCGACTTTTGGGCTGAAAATCCTTTAAACGCGTCCGGTTTCTTTGCATTTAGTGGCTCCGGCCTCTGATTTGCTCCCGATTCAACAGCCAGGAACAGCAGAAATCCTCATGTTATCACTTATTTAACCAGTTATTTACTCATTTCTGTGAAAAACGTGCAGGTCCACCAGGCTATACAACAGCTTTTTCCCTGTTGCCATTAGAATGCTAAATTATTGAATCCTGTTCTCGTCTTAACTTGTATGCAATGAAATTTCGTTTTTGTGTGCACTCCGTACACACAAAATGACAGTAAAGTTGTTTATGTCTATAAAACAGCTATCAGAATCAAAATTTTTCTGGTCGTAAACTCTAATCCAATCAGATTTTTTCAGATCCCAGTTTCCTCTGAACTCTAAGTAACCCCTGAGATGCTTTTGTTTGAGGCGCATCGGCTTGTTGAAAACTTTCCTCAGCTTCTTCTGGGACCGTCCCCGTTAACTCATTGACTGCCAGAGTTTTTTGAGCATTTTGACTGATTTTTCAAGAGCCACAGAATAGTTTGTGCTATGACTACGTAAACACCGAACACACCAAAAGAAAGGGTAGACTCTCTTCTTTCATCAGGAAAAACTTTTTGTTTCTACCTTATTCCGTTCTTCCTCACTGGCGACATGTTCTCTCATAGCGAACCGTTACCTTTTTCTTATTTGCCTACAGTCTATGCTCATCTCCCATCAAAAGTGGCACTGCCCCCTAGAGGGTCAATTTGTTACTACATACTCTGTCTAGAAGCCGATATTTACGGACAAGCTTTAGCAGATCGTCCCCCAGCCATTCTCGTTGAAAAACATGAAAGACGTCTATAGACGTCTTTGGCAGCCAATGAGTTAATGCAGCTTGGTTTCCTGG